GCTGTGGCTCAAGTGGTAGAGCGCTAGCCTTGAGCTGAAGAGCTGAGGGACAGCGCCCAGGCCCAGAGTTCAGGCCCACGACTGGACCCAAAAAAGAACAACAACAAAAATTAACTCTGTTGTCACCTGATCATGAACTACCTAGCCTCCAGTTCTGTGAGAAATAAATTTCTATTACTCACTTGGTGGTATTTTGTTGTGGCAGCAGAACACAATTTTCTTAATATATGCATTATAAATATATTACCTCTATGTTATGTTGTGTTTTGATGAACATAAAAAATTTTTTTGCCTACTGCTTCAGCTGTCTTGTTATTTTCCCACCAAGTGCTGGTAACTCAAACTTGCAAACCTAGTTCCTCAGGACTCTGAGATCAGAGAATTGCAACTGAAAACCAAAAAAACGAACAAACAAAAAACACCAGAATACCTTTCTATCTGAAGTTGGAAATTCTTGGCAAGATATTTTCTCTTTCAATTTTAGATACATTAATCTCTTGGAGTTGGATTTTGTATATGGTGTAAGATATTTATCTTCTTTAAGCACTGTTTTTGTTTTTTGTTTTTTTGTTTTTTGCTTTTTTTGGGTCCGGTTGTGGGGCCTGAACTCTTGGCCTGGGTGCTGTCCCTCAGCTCTTAAGCTCAAGGCTAGTTAAGCACTGTTTTTGAAAAGCCTGTCTTTTCCCACCTGCTGTATATTGTCATCATTGTCATATGTTAATTGTATGCACAGATTTGTTTCAAGACCATGTAGTCTGTTCTTTGTGTCTTTTCTTGTAGAAAGACCACATTATATCAATTTCTGCAAAAGCTTTATAAATCATAATATTTGATATGAAAAACCTCCCCACTATGTTCCTGAAAATTGATTTAGCTTTTATATAAGTGCAAATTGTAGAGCTGGGCGCCAGTGACTCATGCCTGTAATCCTAGCTACTCAGGAGGCTGAGATCTGAGGATTGCAGTTCAAAGCCAGCCCGGGCAGGAAAGTCCGTCAGATTTTTTTTTTTTTTTTTGGTCGGCCGTGGGGCTTGAACTCTGGGCCTGGGCGCTGTCCCTCAGCTCTTCAGCTCAAGGCGAGCGCTCTACCACTTGAGCTACAGCGCCACTTCCGGTTTTCTGGTGGTTTATTGGAGATAGGAGTCTCAAGGTCTCTCCTGCCCGCACTGGCTTTGAACCTTGATCCTCAGATCTCAGCCTCCTGAGTAGCTAGGATTACAGGCGTGAGCCACCGGCGCCCGGCTCGTCAGATTCTTTAATAAACCACTCAAAAACCAGGAGTGGTGCTGTGGCTCAAGTGGTAGAGCGCTCACCTTGAGCTGAAGAGCTGAGGGACAGTGCCCAGGCCCAGAGTTCAAGCCCCACGACTGACCAAAAAAAAAAAAAAAGTGAAAATTGTAGACTCCGACTCTGCTATTTATGACAAAATTTCTCTTAAAACTTTTAGAATCACTGTAATATTTCCTACTCATGAGGCTGATCAAAGTTCTAAGCCAGCTCATCAGAAAAGCACATGAAACTCCCTATCTCCAATTACCCTCACAAAATGCTGCTCTGGAGGTGTTGTTCAAGTGGTGGAGCACCAGCCATGAGCAAGAAAGATGAATGAGCACAAACCCTAAGTGTAAGCTTGAGTACCAGTGTGCAGACACACATACATACAGACACACACACACACACACACACACACACACACACACAGAGTTGGAGTTTTGTTTACTATTACACTGAAGCTATATGCCTCATGCCTCATTTGGAAAACCAGTATTATTATTCATTATATTGAATTATGTCCCCCAAAATATGTTGGAGTCTGTCTGTCCCTCTCTTCCTCCCCCCCCCTCTTTATGTTGCAAGTACTAGAGCTTAAACTCATGCATGCTATACCACTTGAGTTATAGCTCCACCTATGAAGTCTCAGAGACTTTTCTGGCCAAGTTGGCTTCAAACGTGATCCTCAGCTATCAACCTCCTAAGTAGCTAAGATTACAGGAATGTACCACTAGTACCTTGCTCAATAATATTATTGAATCTCATGGGATTTGAGCAATCTTAATGACTGCAATACAAAAAGAAACAGTTTTAGACCAGAATCTGTGATATTAAGTAATTCTTTTTTCTTTTTTTGTAGTATTAGCCCTTTTTTGTTTGTTTTTTTGTCATTTGTGGGTCTTCGACCATGGGCCTGGGCACTGTCCCTGAGCTCTTCAGTTCAAGGCAAGTGCTCTACCCCTTGAACCACATCACCACAAGTTTTTTTTGTTTTGTTTTGTTTTGTTTTTGGTGATTAATTGGCGATAAGAGTATTACAGACTTTCCCGCGCAGGCTGACTTTGAACGGTGATCCTCAGATCTCAGCCTCCTGATTAGTTGGGATTACAGACATGAGCCACCAGCACTCAGCAAGACTTTTAAACAGTTACTCTACTATTCAAACCACACATCCAATAATTCTTTTCTACATACACATTTGTTTTTGGCAGTTCTGAGGTCTGAACTCAGAGCTATATGCTTGCTAAGGAAACATTCTACTGCTTGTGCTATGCCCCCAGCCTGCAAGTAATTCCTTATTTTGCTGTGCAAAGTAATTTAGACTGGGAATATAAAATTTGTCTTGTTTAATGTTTTTTTTTTTTGGGTCCGGTCGTGGGGCCTGAACTCTGGGCCTGGGCACTGTCCCTCAGCTCTTCAGCTCAAGGCTAGTGCTCTACCACTTGAGCCACAGCGCCACTTTCAGCTTTTTTGTTATGTGGTGCTGAGGAATCGAACCCAGGGCCTCATGCATGCAAGGCAAGCATTCTACCACTGAGCCACCTTCCCAGCCCTCAATGCTAATTTTCATCATTCTCCAGGCTTAGGTCATATTGCCCTGCTTGCACCAAGTGCATCCCTGAATGCCTGGGTTTTTGCCTGCTGTCCATAGGGTGGAGGTCACTGTTAGGTTTTTAAAAAGAGGTAGCCGAGTAAGAACAGCACCACGCATGTGGTATTTAGGTAAGGGGTAGGTTTATTTAGTAGACCTGCTGGAACCAGGCAAGGTTGGCACTCCACGTGGCTGGCAAAGACCTGGGAAAGAGAGCTGGAAAATAGCTGGGAAAGAGCTAGAAAAGAGCTAGAAAAAAGAAGAGAGAGCTGGGAACGAGCTGGGAAAGAGAGGTGGGGAAGAGAGAGCTAGGAAAGAGGGCCTCTGGGCCTGGGCTAGGCCTTATCTAGGGTATGGGCA